TTCATTGCAATATGTATGTCAAATAAAATGTAGCTATTTAAGAAATACATTTGTATTCGTATATATTTTTCATGTGTATTTATTTTTCTTTTAAAAATCTTGTTTCCTTTTCTAAGTCGTATTAATTCTCATATGTCTATTATTTGTATTTGTATTTGAATACAAATAAACTAATAGAAAGTTGTTCTTCTTATAAATAAAATACATAACTAGTTGACATACATTTGGATGAATACAAATTAGGGACAAATACAAGATTCATAAACCATACAACATGAAATTTTTAATAAATACAAATATTGATAGTATACATAGTGATTTGAATACAAATTAAGAAAGCATACCAAATTCTAAAAAAGAATTATAAATACAAAACAAACTAATAGAAAATTGTTCGCGATCTTCGTCTTTTTCAAGATCCTCACGAGTAGACAAAAATTTTGCATTTGCGTTCTGAATTTGAGGAAGGTTTTGCACACCAATGAGTCTTGTAAATGTTCTTACCCTCTTTCTTCCTTCATTTTAGCAGCGGATCATACATTATACACTATTTGTTAAGTAATAAATAAATTAAAGGATGAAAAATCACCAGAAATTGGTTGATTAAGATGAATACCTCTAGTAAGCCTCTTGGATTCAGCCATTGGAGAGTAAATCATAACGGAAATTGAAAAATACAAACAACATTTTTTAAGACTTAAACAAAAATAAAATTAGAAAAAAAATCTGAAAATAGGATAAAGATTAGAGATACCTTAATCAAAGGGATTCTTGTTGATTCAATTTTGGATTAAAAAAACAACCAAAATATATGGCAAAAAAATATTTGCAACTTGAATGTTGGAGGGAAATGAGAAAAGATAACCATAAGAGAGAGAAAAAATTAAATGGGAGAGAGAATTAACAATTTGAAAAGATAAATATGAGAGAGAATAATTTTTTTTTAAAAAAAAGATATACAGAATTAATTGAAAAAGAGAGATAAAATAGGAAGAAAATTGGGACACATAAATTTTTAAAAATAATGACATTTTTGACATTATTGCTAATATTTATAAAATATGAATATTTTTACTAAATATGTTATTTATTTTGACTAATTTACTAATTTTTCCTAATATAATTACACCAAATTTAGCTAAGCCATTTTTCTTTGGGTTGAAATAACCTGCCACTAACTAGAAGGTCGTATATTTACAAAATAAAATTTTATTTATTCAATAGTCTAACTTTGACTTGCTCAAAAAATATAAAACTATTTTTTTTCCCACAAGAGCCAAAAGCTATAAATTCCACCAAAACTCACGTGGACGGCTTTCCAAGGAAAAAAGAAAAAGGATAAAACTTTTCTACTTTGAGTTCCAACTTTTTTATTAATCCTCTAATTCCCAAAATACCCCTAATCCTCAAATGCTATTCAAATAAGAAATAGGGGCGTGAGAAAATCAAATTGAATTGAAAAAATATTATTGATTTATCGCTATTGAAATAACAGTTTCTAATGTTTTTATTAAAAAAATATCGAATTATGGATTTTGTTTTTAATATTGAGCTAAACGATAATCTTTTAAGACTATAGTAATTTATCATTTTGCTCGTAAATAAATATTAGTCTCAATACCTTACTACTTTCTATCTTTGCCCTAAAATAAAATCTCTATTCGTCTTAATTTCTCTTTGTGTTGTACTTTCGTAATTTTTTTTAATGTTAGTTATTATTGTTTCTATTTGATGAGCATTTATAAAGTTATATCGTTCTTTTGGTTAAATTATTGGAGAAGTCATATAATCATTTCATAAGCATTCTCTTACAAGTTAAATCGATAATCAAGTTACAAATTAAAATTGATAAAAAGAAATCTTATTAATATGGTTAATGATTTAGTGTATTTAAAATTTGAAAATTGATACACCGAACCATAATATATAAAATCAAATCGAACACACCCCTAATTCGAAAATCCAATCGCACAATTCAGAAAAGGGTAAAACTGTCATTACACTACAAACAATTTAATTGTCTTTCCACACTACTATTAAACTTTCAACAATGGCTAATTTAGAATTCTTCTATTTGTTCTTCTTCATCATCATCGTTGACAATTGGCATTGACCCTTCTCTCTCACACATATACTGTGTGTATATACATAATTATATATATACTACAGGAATGTTTGTGTGCTTAAAAATCTTGAATATTTTGGTTTGATCCAGCATTTTCAACTATATATTTGCACATTTTTTTTTGATATTTTTCTCACAGATGATTGTAGAGACGGCGTTGGAAGTACTGGTGCCGTCATGGTGGGAGGTGAAAGTCACCGTTGCTGCCACGGCATTCGTCATCATTTCTTACTGGTTCTTTGCAGCCGGCGGCGATGCTAACGCTGGTGGTCGTGTTGCCGTCGATGATGATTCTGGTGTCGTCGATGATAAAGACAAGGTATTGTGAATTTCTGTGTTTTTGGGTATTGTGAATTACCGTTTTTGCTTATGAAATTGTTGAAGAAATGTGTATGAAGAGAAATTTTTGTAACCGCTTGTTGTTAATGGATTTGATCTATTCACGGGTAATAGTGATGGTGTGGCTTAGAGGGATGTTACGGGTTCGAATCCTTAGCAAACAGAAACCTACTATTTAAGTGGAATGGAGTATTGGACTGTTGGCGAATTTATTGGTTATTAAAAAAAATTGCGCATTGATGATGGGATTTTGGGGCTAATTTAGAAGCATTTTGCTTTGTTTTTTAGGGGGCATTTTACAAGTTATTTAATTGAATGTGATGTTTTTTGTGGGATTACTGTAATGGTTTACGTATCAGTTAGTTACATGAAACTCTTTTGAAGTTATTGAAAGTGACTAGTTATTGCGTGACAGCAATGATATAAAAAAGGTGAAGAATCATGCTGTATTGATATCCTAGTAATACTGATTACTGAATCGGGAAGATTTTCCTTTGGAATGTTGCTGGTTTTAGAAGTAAAATAAAGTATTTCTAATTAAGTTGCTCTTTTGAAAATGCAGAACTTTGCCTCCATATGTATTATCTTAGGTAGGATAAGGCCGAACTCGCTTCAGTTTTTGTTTGTTTCCTACTTTAGAGCCATTGCTTTCTTGAGTAGTGTAGTAATGAAAAGATGCCAAGAATCAGGAAATACAATTGCAGTACTACTTGACTAACTTCTTCAAATATAATATTTGTTATATTCTAGACAAAATTGCTGCCTCGTAGGGGTTAGGCTAGTGAATTATGGTTGGTGATCACTCAGTCTCCTACTAAATGCCAAGATGTGTGAAATATGGCATGTTTTATGATAAGTCTGGTTTAAATGGCTTATGATTCAGGCATAGTACTAGTAGTAGTGATAGTATATATTATAAGAGAAGAAGGGCAAATTCACTTTGGTTTTTGTTTGTTTGTTTCTTTTCTTTCTTAATAAAGAGCCATTGCTTACTGAGTGTCTTGGTAATGAAAAATATGCCAAGAATCACGAAACACAGTTGCATTTATGGTTGACCGGCTTCTTTAAATGTTTTATTTGTATATATTCTAGTCGGAATTGCTGCCTTGGAAGGGAAGTTTCAGAAAAACATTGCTGCTTGGAAGGGTTAGACCAGGGTGTGGTTAGTGGTCACTCAGACTCCTACTAAATGCCAAAATGTGTGAAATGACGTGTCTTATGAGAAGTTTTGTTTATGATTGAGTCATAGTAGTAGTAGTAGAGTTGTAGTTGTAGTATATAATCAGGAGCCATACGCCTAAATATTTCAGAAACCTAACAATATGCTGTGGCATTATGTCGACATGGAATATAATGATAAATGATGTGTGAAAAAATATGTAATTTTTGATCTATGAGGTTTATGTTGTAGCCTACCACAAATAACCTATTTTTTTTTTTTTTTGACACTAGTAACATTGTATTTCAGTCAGTACTTAGGTAGTACTGAAAAACCATCTTTACAAAAACAAGAAAAAGACTAAAGTCCTTCCAATGCCAAGCCATGAACTAGATGGACCTGTTAACTCCTTCAATGGAGATTCTAATTTACGTATTGAGAGGAAAAGGAAAACAAACAATGTAAAGTGAAATGTAATTTGTATTGAGTTAGTTACATCTGATCATTAAACTCATATATATAATATACATCACTTCATACATTTGCACATCTATATGACACTAGCCACTACAATTTGTTATAACTAATATA